GGGCGTAACTCGCACGGTCGCGTTCGAAGCTTATAGAGAAAGAGAGAGAGAGAGAGAGAGAATATAATACGTGAGAGATGGGGGCGTTTTCTCCCTTCAACTCGCACGATCTTATCTCTCTCTCTCTCTCTCTCTTACTCTCTCGCTCGTTAGCTCGCTCGTTTACCGGCTGTGGTCTTTTTTCGATTGGCCAACGTTTTAATACGATAAAACTTCTTCGATTGATCTTCCTCTGTTACAAGAAAAGGTTATGTATCCATATATGTCGTCGTTAATAAAAGCACAGATTTTTCGTTGATAATCACCAAGCACCCCCGAAAGAAAAAGAGAGAGAGAGAAAGAGAGAAAGAAAGAGAGAGACAGAGAGAAAGAGAGAGAGAGAGAGAGAATGAGAGAACCGTGTCGTTCCTTCTTTCTCCTTTCTTTCTCTCCCTCTCCTTCGTTCACAATGAAATTATGTATAATACGTTATTCACGCACCTCCAATGATAATTAATCTCACCCACGATTTTCTAACTTAACGAAATTTTAATAATCGCGTATAACGACGGGTGTTGTCAGCCCGATAAATTGTCCTCGCCGTGTACGAGCTTCAAGAGGACGGCACGTTCCTCGTCGGCCATCGTGAAAACCACCGTCGTTGTAGTCTACAGTGGCGCCACCTACTACTCTCCTTATCGATGTGTCGATAGCATCGATGTTTCGAGAATCGAGAGACGATTGTTTTATAAAAGAGAATTATCTTCTAATGGTATTTGAATTCTTTTTCGTTCGCTTTTCAAAAAAATTAACATAAAAATATTATATTAATAAATTCACGTTATATATATATATATATATATATATATATATATATATATATATACTAGCTTTCATTTTTTTATTAGTACGTGTATATAAAATTATTAATATTCTTTCTTCACATATGCAATACCATTTTCAAGGCTGTATTTAATTTTACGTAAAAAATGTTTCTAGTCGAATAATAACATTTTTAACAATCTCTTCTAATCATTTATATTACCTATGATATATATATATATATTTAAAATCTGGACATATTTACATTATAATAATTCATATTTGAATTTATATAAAATTTTACCAAAAATATTTTTCATGACATAATTATAAATATAATATAATCGTGAATAAATATATATATATATATATATATATATATATATATATATATACTATATATAGATTTTATATACAATTAGTTTAGATAGTTAATTATTTAATAGATTAATCAGACTTATTCTCGATAGGACTTATAAGACGTATTAGATATTCCAATATTTTAACTACATCTTGTTCTTGCTCTACGTTATTTGTTGTTAATAATGTTAATCTACCTAATGCCTCTTGAATACTCTGAGGAAATCCTGCAGTACGTGCAATTAATTTTCCTTTCTGATTATTACATATTAATGACCATAACATTGATCCTGCTATTCTGATTTCGCATAAAGATCCATTTTTAAAAACATCGTGAAGAAGATTGATGACATCCACTATAGAAAAATATATTAAATAACATATTAATAACATTTTCAACTTTTATATATAACATTTTACAAACCTGAGCTAAGAATTCTTGGTCTATTTGCCATATTAAATGCTAAATTACGCAAAATGGAAATGGCAAGTATTTTTGTTGGCGAAGATGAACATTTTGCTAAATGTATTAGAGAATCTAAACCATCTACGGCCTAAAACATATAAATCAAAAAATAAATATACTATGATGATACAGAATTTTTGCATTGAAAAATTAAATATTATTAAATATAATATTTAATATTTAATTTTTTTTTTTATTATATTTTTTGTTTAATATTATAATTTTTTTATTTAATATTATAACATATATATATATTATATTATTATTAAATATATATATATATATATTTAATTTTTATAAGAAATATATATATATATTTTTTTTTACCTTAGGCACGCAAATTTGTCCTTCTTCATAATATGTAAAATCAATTAGAAATTCTAAACAATAGAGCTCTACCAGTGGCCAAGGTTTTACTCTCTTTGTAGTAATAGGATGTATCTTTGTAAAAAATTGTAACAAATTGCTCTGGAAAAAATTAATTTAATTAAAAAATTATATTGTTATTGTAAGAATATATATTTACTTTTGAAATTGAAACTCTGCATTCATGTACATGTACGGCATTTCGTAAAACATGAAAAGCAAAATGCAATTTGTTATTATCAAAAAGGTGTCCTGCTTTATCGATCTCTTTACATATTAATTGTATAATGATATGTATTATAGCAATTGTATTAGGTGTTTTCCTCAATCCTGTTCCTGGTAATACCGTAGTTAATGTTAAAGATTGTGCTGCTGTAAAAAAAAAAAAAAAAAAAATTATTAACAAAAGAAATACTTGTGTATATTTGTTTTTTAAATATTACATAAATAAATAAATGTAATTTTAATCTATATATTATACCAGCTGAGCACTTTGTCGTAAATGTTGCTAATAATTTTAATGCACAAGATGAAATATTTTTATTCAGAGCTATCCAAGCCCATAATTTGTGCAATACATCAGCCAAGCCATCTTTAGTAAGTGTTTCTTTAACTTGTAAATTTTCATGCATAAAATTCATTAATAATATGAAAATATTGTTTATATCACTAAATAGAGGATTAATCTAAAAAAAAAAAAAAAAAAAAGAAAATAAATAAATAAATAAATAAATAAAAGAGATTCTTTAATTATACAGATATTATAAAAGAATATAAAATATGTACCTTTTTCTCACGATCAACTTGATTTTTATAAAGTTCAAATGGTTGTAGATTTAATTTAACATACAATTCTTTAAGTATCATCAATGCTGTTTCAGATAAATTCTCTTTCAATGCAATTTTTTTGGCTTCCATAGAAACACATAATAAATTAGCTAGAGCACTAACAATAAGATCTCTATTCTCTATATGTTTACGACTTTTTTTTGATCTTGTATAATTATGAGCAATAAAAAGAGGTAATAAAACTTTACATAATTCAGCACCTATTGTATACTGTTGCTCATCTGATTTCATTTTAATATTATCCGAATTAACGGTATAATCATCAATTTCATCATTTCGATTTGCTTTTTTAGAATGCAAATTTATACTCCTTATAGAAAGTTTATTAATATTAGTTATAACTTCTTGTAAATTGTTACTTTGATTATTTATTGGAATGTATATGATACTATCTAAAATCGTCTTTATCGAAATATTATTTTTTCCTAATGTTTCTTTTTGAATTTCTTGAGTAAGAAGAAAAGTAAGACATGCAATAGCATTCATTCGTAATTCTGTATCAGTATCTTTAATTGCAGTGCAAATAGAAGTCAATGCTTTATCTGGACCATATAATTCTAAAGCTGTTTGAATAGATTCAAAGTGTTGATCATCTGTTAACGATAATATAGATAAAAAATTATAAATCTCTGCTTTTAATTTATTATACAGAGAAATTAGATGTGACATATGAATACCTATAGAAATACATAAAAACAAAAAAGAAAAATTAACACTGATTAATCAATAAGTAAATATTATGTGAAATGTTGAACAAATGTACTCACTGTACAAATCAAAATGAAGAAGATTAAATAAAGAATAAATACAGTCAGGTGTAAAACTTGCAACTGCAGCAAATTCATTACTATGTATGACACAATTTGATAAGACAACGCAAATGCTGATATACATTTCTAACATATCACAATAATGTATAAGATCTTTTTTAGTATCGATATTCTTTGGAATTTCTTTTAAGCACCTGTAAAATTCAATATTAATATATTTTACATAAATTATGTTATTTTTAATTAAAAGCTTAAGCTGATTTATATACATATATATGTGTGTGTGTGTGTGTGTGTGTGTGTGTGTATAATATATATATAAATACCTAATAAGATATTTATCGAGTGATTGTTCATAAACGTGACGTACTACTTCCTGTTGTCCAATAAGTATTAAATTATTTAAAAGAGTACACGTTGCTGTTACTAAAGAAGGAGTTGCAACGGATAATAAATAATGATCCATATCCATACTTTCAGAATCTACTCCTGAAACTATAACAAAAAATAACAGATGTTCTGTAATAAAAAAAATGTAATGAAATTAATAAAAAAAAAAATAAAGTATTTACAAGGTAGTAGTTCATCGTGACAATTGTATAAGTATGATACAGTCCGTGGTACTAATGATACACATCCTGATGTCGCAGCTTGTATGGATGGTACTTTATCATCTTTTTGTTGTTCATTGTTTAACAAATCAGAATCTAATGTTGGTAACACATAAATGTTAGAATATAATATACTCATTTCATAATAAAAGTTCACTTGTTCCGTGTATATAAGTATAATATTTGTTTTCAATGAGTCAATCTATTAAAAAAAAAAAAAAAGAAAATGTAATTAATTAATAATGCAAGCTTAATAAATTATTTATATTACATGATATCTTACATGTTGAAAAGACATAGAGTTGCAATTTTTAATTAAGTTACTGAATGCAATACACGCTTGTTCTCGAACAATACAAGATTCTTCTCCGATTATAATGTATTGCAATAACATGTAACATAATTCATTCGGTGCAACGGCGATTGCGTTTGATAGCTGTGACGCTGAATGCATTTCGTTTAATAATCCTGACAATAACTGCAAAGCTGATGCACGCACCAAAGGATCTCTATTTTGCCAAAGCATTGGTAACCAACTTAAAGATCTGCTATCTTCGTACCAAAATGATATCCACGTCTAAAAAAATTATATGACATTAGTTTAATATTAATAATTATAAATATTTTCATGGTATGATTTAATTATCTATAAATATTTTTTACATTTTTATTAAAATTTTCGTGCATTTGATACAACAAATGATTAAGGCATATTATAGAATTCCTGGTTATAGATAAACCCATAAAACTAACTGTACCAGCACCATGAAAAGATATAATCATTTCAATAAGTGTATTTCCTAATGATGCTAATAAATTTTTATGATTGCTCCAATCGCATTGGCTGATTAAATATGTCAAACATGTCAACAACCAATCCAGATATGCTAGAAACAGAAAAAAAAGAAAAAAATATATATATATACATAAAAAAAAATAAAAAATAATTAAAAAGATCTGAAGCAAACATAAAATTCTATATTCTTACCAAGGTTGTAAAAATGTTGTTGATTTCCAAAACATAAAGTAGAAACAACTAATTCGATAAAATGTATCCACGTATGTTTCTGATTAATGTCTGATTTTTCATTTCTTTCAATAGCTGCACAAGTACGTGCTAATTTTAAAATTGATTGATGTACATCTTGATTATCCACTTCCAAATTTTGAAATAAATCTGCCCATGATTTTGTCATATTTTTCATCATCTTACTTATCCATGAACTTTTACCTATAAAACAAATGTATATTTTAAAAATGATATTATTTTATCATTTACTTTATATCATTACCTTTTGCTATACTGATATATAATTGTAAAAAATTGATAATATTAACAAATAAATCACAGTCCTCTTTACTCGACGGATGGGACGATAAAAATCTTTCGAACGTTTGTTCCCACGGTAAAGAATTAATATCTTTAATTTCTTCATATTGCAACATATTATAAAATTTTATGTACCTAATAAATATTATTATATATATTATTGTACTCGCATGTACACTGGGATATATAACATATTTTTTTCTTTTTTTTTTTTTTTTTTTTTCAAATTATAAGATCTTACATTATCAGATAATCGAGAGCATTTAATACACCATCGTGTGTCGTAGAATTTTGTACATTATACAATTGTTTTTGACAATAAAAATATGAACAGCTGTATTGAAAAATAAAGAATTCATGTTCTTGTATCCTTAATTTTTCTGGTAATTCAGAATCATTAACATCATCATAATTTTTCCATAACATCTTCCATCCACCATTCCATTCCCATGCCCAATATTGTCTTACAAATGTCAATATTGTTTGATTGCTTCCATGGAGAACTATAATATATATATATATATGTGTTAAAATTAATATTAGTTATTATAATAATATATTACATACAATTAATATATAAAACTATACCTGATATTTCTGATCGTCTATGTACACTGGTTTTCCAATGAGATTTACAAATTAATGGTAATTTCATTTTAATTACAATAATATGAGGCAAAGATACAGTTAATTGAATATTACTTTCTGTTTGTTTTTCATTCATTCTGATAATATAATCATTATATAAAAGTAAGCATAAAATATATGAACCATCAGCCTTGACACATTCATTATTTGGAAACAAAAATATACCTAAAAATATATATTTAAAGAAATTTATATAAAAAAAAAAAGAAAAAAAAAGGAAGAAAAAAAAAGGAAGAAAAAAAAGGAAGAAAAAAATAATTAGATAATTAACACTATGGATAAATCGTATACATACTGCGAATAATATTTATGAAAATATCAATATTAGTAGATAATTCATGTCTCACTGATGATTCACTGGCAACAATTAATTTTAATATTGCCAGTATTGGAATAACAGAATCAGGATAATTTTTATAATCATTTTCTATCTAAAATCCATTAACACATACAATTACAACAAAATAAAAATCAGGGCTGTTAAAAAAAAAAAAAAAAAGAAAAAGAAAAAGAAGAAGAAAAAGAAAAAAAAATTATATTCACCAAAGCACTGTTAAACGTCTGCAAAATTAAAAATAATCCATTTTCATTAAGAAATAATTTATGTAATGACGTGTCTGTAAGCATTACATTAATTTGTACTAATGCAGATTTACGCATTTTAGGATCAACTTCGGAATCTCTTAACATTTCTAGCACCGACAATAAACTGCTCCTCTAAAATAATTATTTAATTTATAAATTTATTAAAATAATTTATTTAACTTATGAATTTATTTAGGTATAAAAGTGTGATAATTATAGAACCTGATAATTTCCTTCTAAGCGTTTAAAAACGGATGGACGTTCGAATATACAAAGAGAACTAAGAGGTAAACCATGCAAGGAAGATAATCTTGGCAATTTTTTAATAGAATCTTTTTCTTTGCCAAGCAACCAAATTAATCTACAAGAAGCTTCTTCTCTAACGTCACACTCAGCTGAATACAATAATCTTAAGTTACCTTTTAAAACCTGAAATATAGTATCATACAATGTTTAAATAATTGAAAATTATAAATACATACATATATAAATAATTAATAAAATATATTAATAAACTACCTCAAGATATGGTAAGTGTATACTATTAAAAATATCAGGATCAAGCATTTTTGTTATACATCTGCCTATAACTGTAGAAGAATATGCATAACATTGAAGAAGAGGTAATACTGGTATAATTGTTTCTAATATTTTTAACCAGCCTGTTTCATCGGCTTGAACTTTTCCTTTTAATATATAAATTATCATCTCTTCTGACATTTCTCTAATCTATAAAATATTAACATAAAAATGATATATTAAAAATTAAAATGTTACATATATATATATCAATGAAAATAATAATAACATAATGCAAACTTACTTTTTTATTTTCATTGGGTAGACCATAGCAAATTATTTCAGTCAAAACATTTGGTTCCAAAAGGAAAATTAAATTTTCCCATGTAAGTTTTTCTTTATTATATTCTATTCCTAAAATACTTTTGACTAAACAATGACATTCTTTATATGCCAATTCTTGTATATCCGTATCTCCATTTGCTAATAAATTTAATATTAATTTTCTGCATATTACATGATCTTCTTTGCTGAGGGAATATCTACAAATAAATTTTCATAATTGTTAAAAATATTACAAATAAATAGTTTATTATTAATTAATACAAACCTGTTAATATTTTGTAGAAATTTAATGGCTTTCTTAACTATACACATATTTTTGTGATAAGGCAAACTTAATTTAGATGCATATAATATTTTTAATATATCAGAATGTGATCCTCTAGAAGATTCTTTTATTGAGCAAATAGCTGCTTGCATTGATTTGATAATAACTCTACTTTCATCAAAGACTTTGATTATTGCAAGTTCGTTTGAATCTTCTAAATGCTATATATATATATATACATAAAGATAAAAATATATAATAACATAAAATAAGAAAGGATTATTATTTTCATATATAGAATTAATTTACCTGAATATATACTTGAAGTGCAGTATGCAATTTTGGATACATCAAATATATAGGTGCATCCATTAAAGCAATTGACATAGAATTTTTTATGGATTTAGGTAAAATAATATTTGCTACTTCAAATGGTACAATATTACTTAATAAATTTACTGTAATGCAAAGAAGATGAAGATATGTAATCCTATGATAATCTATACTGCCATAATTTGCAAAATATTCCAGAGAATCTCCTAATAATGTTAATAAAATTTTTAATTCGTCGCTAATCTTCCTTGCCATATTATCATTGCATATCCATATATTTGGCATGACTGTGATAAGTAGTAATTGTGCTAATTCATGAATCAGGTCAACTATGTATTTAGTATTTTTTAATGGAAATGTAGAATCGTTAGGAATATTTAATTGCGAAATAACGTGTTTTAATGTTTCAATACAATAGGAAGGAACGAGCATTTGTTGCAATCGTAATACAGATTCATCAACATTATCCATGATGCTTTGACTTCTGTCACTTGTAGCCTGAAAAAAAAATATATATATATATAATTACAATGAATATAATGACTTACAAAACTACATACAGCTGATTGATATGCTTGATAATTAGCTTCTGGTATTCCTCCATCAGGACTGTCTCTAGCTTCAGATAAATGATAACTATTATTATCCAATTTCTCTGCAAGTAACTAAAATATATATATATATATAAAAATTGATATAATTATATATAAAAGCTAATACGAACATATATTTCTAATATGAACATATATTTATTTTTACCTTTTGTTTTTTATTTGCCACACATGGATCATAATAATAATAAATTCGAAATCGTAGACATCTTGTTAATTTATGTAATGCTTTTAATACAGCTGGTATAATATATTTAATATCAGGCTCAATTATATTTATACTTGTATCAAGAAGAGCATGTAGCACCTAAAAAAAAAAAAAAAAAAGAGAAAAGAAATTTGTTAGAGAATTAAAAAAAAAAAAAAGAATATAATCACAGTGTAAAACATTATTTTCTTAATATTCACTGATACTATTGCTGGCCTTTGAAGAAAAACTTCAGCTGGAAAATCTTGTAACATAACATTTGTTATAAACTGACACGTATGTAATATCAGATTAGTATCTGCAGTATTATTTAAAGCTTCCTCTACTGCTGCTAATACACCTTTATCCGATGTGACTAATGGTTGCCATGGCATTACTAACCATTTAATTCCACCCTCTACTGTTTTGGAAACAAGTGTACCATCGCTATGTTGAACAGTAAGATCCACAGGCAACGTACTGAATAAAAATTTACAATATTTATATTTTATATATATTATAATAATTAATATTATATATAGATACATAAACATATAAAATATATTAATATATAAAATTTATATTTACTTGTCCAATGGAGATACAAAAGCACTAGCATCATTGGAAGCATTAATTCTGTCAGCATTAAAATCTTTACTTCCATAATTATCATAATTATGAATTCTTTTCATATACTCTGATTGTTTAAATGATATTCTTGACGGATCTAATAATGTCTATAATAATTAAAAATTATTAAGACATTGCGAAACATTATAATATATAATATAATAATTGACAAATAATATTAATTATCTACTTTAATATTTCTTTTAATGTCATTGGATGATTCTTCTTTATCTGGATTTAAAATGACTTGTTCTATTTGATCAACTTTATCATGCCATGAAGTGTCAAGTTTTCTTTTTAATTGATGTAACTCATTTTGAAATCTTGATCTGCCAAATGCATTTAAATAATTGTTATTTCCACCCTTAAAGAAATTAATAGACATTCAATTTATGATATAATATTTTTTTGTGAATATTTATTATCATAACAAAAAAGATACCTTTATCAATCTATGTAACAAATCTAAAGCTTCTCTAGGATGAGGTATATTGTCAAATGTAAACCAATGAAAGAGTTTAACTATTAATTCTTTTTTAACAACGTCAGAATCACATCCAAAACCAAGATCTAATTTAGAAATAATATTTTCTAATGCCCTTCCTCGTATCTCATCAATACTGTGACCTAAAATAAAATAAATCATATGGATATATTATTTCTTATTTTATTTTATACAATTAACATAAAATTATTATAACTTCTTACGATATAATACTTACCTAACTTTTTAACATGTGCAAATGTAATTGTATTTAAACTTGACATTGTATATCAATATTAATTCGTTACAATTATATTTTAGGTTAATCAAGTTTTGAAAATTGAACCGCCACGATATTTACACGAGCGCCAATTTTCAACTAGGAAACTGTTCTCAAGAGTCATCTAGTATTATTCATCTACAGTTTCATTAAGTTTTGTAAATTTTCATTATTAAACTTTGTTTCTATATTATTTTAATATTTGCTAAATGTGTATTTATTAATAAATAAAATAATTATTCGTGTAAGATCTAAATGTATAATTTATTTTTAATAAAAAAAAATCTCATATGTGTATCTAATACGTGATAGAATGGGCAAAGCGTATTGTGGTTAGAATTTTAATTGGAATTATGTTATAAGAAGTGTAATTTTATGTTCCTTTATTTTTTTTTTTTTTTTGATTGTTATTATAAATAATGGGTAAGTTATCAATGATTATTCTTTAATAATATTAAATAATTATTTTGTAATAATAATTATATATATGTGTGTGTATATATATATATATATATATATTTGTAGAAAAGGAAGCAAAAGCTTGTCAAGGAAAGGATATTTTTGAGAGAATGAACTATTTGTATCAGGTAAGAAATATTTTACAATAATTATTAAAACTCAAACTTCTTTTCTTCTTTTATAATTCCCTTTTATAGGCTAGTCATTTGATAGCATTAAAAAATAGAGTTGCAGCTTCATATTATGGAAATACAATGATGGGTTGTGCCAAGAAATCTGTACTGCGCATGTAGGTGCTGTTTATATATATATATAAAAAAAAAAAGAACATTTTTGTAATTATATTTTAATTACAAAATTATTAGGGTTCTGTCATTTATGGGATTTCTTTTTTGTTTTTCTCGTTTTTTCTTTTTTTTTTTTTTTCTTTTTTTTTTAGAGAACCAAATATAAAAAGAACGATATGCAAACGATGCCAATCTCCTTTAATACCTGGAGAAACAGCTAGAGTAAGATTATGTTCTAAACATATGAAAGGAATTAAATGGACATGTTTAATCTGTTTGAATAGTAAAAAGTATCCTACAAAAAGAGGATACAAGTTATGGATAGAACAGCCAGAAGCAATAGTCGAAACTCTACATTATGTTCCTAAGAAAAAATCTATTGACTGTGATAAGAACGAAATGGATAATAATAAAAAATCGGAATCGTCTAATAGTATGAATATGGAAAAAAACAATTTAGAAAGTAATCTCGACTGAGACGTAATTTCATTTCTTGTATAATAAATTTGATGTACGAATATTTTTTATTAATCACTTACATAAAATATGTTACAATATTACAATAAATTTGTAATTAATAAACAGACACTTTTGCTAACTGGAATATTTATAACCATCTAGTAATATCATAATGCTGATAATAGTTTTACATGTTCATAGAAATAACTCGATCGAAGTTATAAGTTACTGTTCTCAGAGTACAAGATATTATTTTATGGTGACCATTGATTGCAGTGAAATCCAAAGATAACTGTGCATTTTTTTTTCTTTCTTTTTTCCTTCTTTTTTTTTCTTTTTTTTTTCTTTTTTTTTTTTTTTTTTTTTTTTTTTGTAGCATTGAGGACGGTTTTGAATGAACGCTTGAGAGATGATATTATAAATGTCATGAGTGCAATGAATTTTTTTTTGTCTTCTTTTTTTCTTTTTTTTTCTTTTCTTTTCTTTTTTTTTTTTTTTTTTTTTTTTTTTTTTTTTTTTTTAATTAAGTTTGATTCTACTGAAATTCACTGCAAGCAATATCATGTACCTAACTCACACAACTATATCCGCCCATATCCAGTAACTTCCATAACATTATATACGATACTTAAAACAAATCAGCACGCACGAACTCGAGCATAATCAAATCACAGATTAATCAGACAATGTCAGTCATTTAATATCAACTTAAATAATTTAATCTAGATTAGATGATATGAGCTTAGGGCCATCTACAAACGTATAAATGGTTCGTAGGTAAGTATTCTTAATATATAATAATACTAATTATATAGAATGAACATTAATTAATGATAGTCTTTCACATTTCCTTTAATGTTCCTGAAATTCTGAATAAAATATCAAAAGATGAGAAACTTATGGCATTTAAATAACGCGACACATCTCTCATAAAATAATTATATTAAAAAAAGAAAAAAAAGAAAAAAAAATATATATATATATATAAATATTAAATTAAAAAAAAAAAAAAAATAAGAAAAAGAAAAAAGAAAAAAAAAAACGTAATAATAGTAAATAATAAGAACTGGGCTGGACGGAATCTACACATTCACTTATATACATATATCTGTCGTGCCAAGCTTCGGTCTTCTATCTATTTCCCTTAATATTTTTTCATTTAATATCTATGAGCTAGTATTTTTGATTTCCCTAATACTAAATCTAACGATAAATTATAGATAGGACTCCAGGTTGGCAACGCACACATATATACATGCACACACCGGCTACAGGATATATTTTTCTCCAATAAATATATTGACTATCATTCGTCGTTGTTCTTCACACCCTCCCTCCCTCCCTCCCCCCTTATCCCTACCCCCTATATCCCTCCCCCATCAAAAATTTGGTTTATGTCAATGTCATGGGTATAGCTCAAATTGAAATAGAGCAAAGTTTCTTTTATAATCGTAGTTGGATCTCATTCATATTTGAAGTAAAAAAGAAAAAAAAAAAAAAAAGAAAAAAAGAAAAAGAAAAGAAAAAAAGAGGAGAAAGAAAAAATTTGCTCTTCTTTTACACGCGTCTATTTTAATCGCAAACAAATCTATTCGATTATATCCCGTCTTCGTTCACAGAGGAACACATTTTTTTTTTTTTTTACTATTCTGTTATTGTCTCAGAGGTGTGTGCATGCGAGCCTTTTTTTTTCTTTTTTTTTTTTTTTTTTTTTTTTTTTTTTTTTAAGAGGCGCGTGCAATAGACAGAGCCGTAGATTAAAGGAGGTACAACGTACGGCGATTGAATTACGTATAGATGAAAAAGGATTCTTTTGTTTTTTTTTTTCTTCTTCTGCGTCAATTATCTTCTCTCTTTTTTTTTCTCTCTCTCTCTCTCTTTCTCTCTCTCTCTCTCTCTCTCTTTTTATACTAATCCTGAAACAAATTGAGGTTGGCCATCACGGTCCAGTGTAAGTTGTGGCATTACATTTGGCGATGGTTGAAACGTTGAACCTTGAAATCCCATTGCCGATTCATATAACTGAAGAAAAAAATTATATATCTATGAATGTTAATATCCGAGATAAAAAAAAAATTATATTATAGTAATAATAATGTATTTATAGTAATTATAGTAATAATAATGTTTTAATATTAAAAATTTTCTAATAATTTCAATGGACGCGTATAAATGATATATTTATATTAATTTACAAACATTATGATTTCCAGGAAGAGTTGTATAATCTGGTGTTGTTGAACGATGCCTATTAGCAGGTAATGGATGTTGTATAGTAGCATAAGTATTGTCCTGAGATGTATCACCCATACCAAGGCTAACGCTACTACCACGTCTTTCCAAACCAAGACCACCCTCAGGTTCGCTAAATACTTGCATCGTTAGTTCTTGTTCTTCGTACAATTTTAATTTTCTGTAAATGATAAAATTTCAGTAATTTATTTCTTTTTTTTTTCTTTTTTTTTTTTTTTTTTTGGTATATCATAGCAAAGACATCATAATTGCTTATAATTGCTTTCTTACTGTTCTATCCATAATGGATTTTCCGTTGTATTCAGTTCATCGATTATTTGTTTCTTTATCAAACCATCTTTTTTTCGTATATCATTTGGCACAGTAATAACCCTGGAACGAGGTGAAATTAATATTATTATTATTATTATTATTATTATTATTATTATTATTCTTATTATTATTATTATTATTCTTATTATTATTGATATTAATTAGTATTAATATAAATTTTAATGGGGATACAATTTTGACAATAGAAAGTTTCTGTAATGTTGTGACCTACCAATGTCGTAAACAGCAACAAACTACTGTAACTGTAACAGCACCTACTATTAAAACGACTAATAAAGCTATTAAAGCAGCTAATGCAGGATCAAAAGGTTCCTCTTGGACTCCGGCATAAGCTGGCTGAAATGAAAAATGTTAAAAGTAATGTTAGGCCAAGTATTAACACCATTAATTTTTTTTTTTTTTTTTTTTTTTTTCTTTTTTTTTTTTTTTAGATAATAAAATTGTCAGAATAAAATATATTTACCACTACGTTTTCTATGGCGAAGCCAGCGTAATAATCTTTTAAGAAATCGTATTTGGCATCAATGACTTTAAGAACGTGCGGAACTGGTGCTATAGTTTGACTTTTTAATTCTACGACGTGCAAATACATATCGCACCTAAATAAAATATTATTATTATTACATTTATTGACAAGATAATTGATATTATGTTAATCATTTATTAATTATCTTTTACCATTCTCTACGGATATGTCCAGAAGCATCTACATGATATCTAATATCATCCACGACTACTCTACTTTGAGTAGCATTTGATAATTCAGATACAATCTCATCTCGTTGTCTATTGACTTCTTCTGGTGGTCTTGATAAAATCACCCTTATCAATTGCGATGGTTCAAATACCCATACCTTAATAATATAAATATAATTAATAAAAATTAATGATACATTCGTAAGAATTATTTTATATTATCTTACGTGAACTCTAGTCATTGCATATCTCTCTGGTATAGCTGTCTCTTTGGCTATAACTTCGACGATAAATCTATCTTGATTATATTCAGCCATATATCCACTGGTGATAAGTTTCCCATCTTGTGTCACATTGAATGGACTTGGTATTATCGAACCGCTAGGCTTGTCTGATCCATATTTATATAAATTTGCACCTGCTATATAATAATGAAGGGTACCATTGTCACCAACATCCAAATCTGAAGCTACCACTTTGGTAACAAAATCATTAACATTTGCCATTGAATTAATTCCGGCGTAATAATCGTTTCTCTCGAAAATAGGAGGATTATCATTTTCATCGAGGATTGATATCGTTACGTTAACATGACCATGATCTGAACTGAGTGATAAGGGACGACCTGCCTCCGTTGGATTGATATATAGATCAGGATTGTTAGATGCGAGAATAGAGAGAACATACTTGTCTCTTGTCTCACGATCGAAAGATTTATTTGCGTATATACTACCATCCGATTTGTCCATATAAAATGCATAACCTTCGTTACCTAAAAAAATATTAAAAAAAAAAAAAAAAAAAAAATAAAAAAAAAAAAAAGAAGAAAAGAAAAAATTAACGATATGATCCATTGAGGCATGATCTTAGAAATCATACGATAATTACAAACCTGCTTCTATGTAATAGTAAACTTTGGCATGCCTACCCTCATCCTCATCTTGTGCAGTTACTTTACCTACAAAATAATCTTTAGGACGATTTTCTGATATCTGAAAATTATATTCGTCGTAAAATTGTGGAACATTATCATTCGTATCGACCAATTGAACCGTTAAAAGACGTAAGGCTTCGTATGCTGTAGGAGTACCATGATCAATTGCCACTAGGACAAGCTAAAATCAAAATCGATGTATACGTATATATATATATATATATATATATATTTTTTTTTTTTTAATTTATACATAGGAATAAAAAATATAACTTACTTCAAATTTACTTTTGATCTCACGATCGAGTATGATCTTAGATCGAAGTTCACCGGTTTCTTGATCGATCGAAAACTCTTCAGTTTCTTGAACATTTTTATTTCCAACTTTTAAATGATAACTAATTCGTCCATTTTCACCTGGATCTCGATCGATAGCTTTTACAGTTAATATTAAATAATTAGGTACGCCGGCGTTCTAAAAAATTCAATTGTTTATATAAAATTTATTAATTATACTTTTGATTTTGTAATTAATAAAATAATTACTATAGTAAATATTCATTATATATATATATATATATATATATATATATATATATATATATAAATATATATATTGTTTACAAATACCTCGGGTACTTCAACTGTTGCATTTGTTAATTCGGGCATAACGAATTGTGGCTTGTGCGTGTTAACTGGTGTCACTCTAATATCAACGTAACATCTATCAAAATGTGGTCCATTACCAGCACCATCTCTTGCTTCAACTTCGATTCTATAAGAACCAGCTCGTCCAAGTAATGCCGCAGCGGGATATAAAATACCAGTTTCTCGATTCAATGAGAAAGAATCATTTTCATTTCCATGTATGATGGTATACCAAACTTCTCCATTAATACCTTCGTCATGATCGACAGCTCTCACCTTGATAATAATAAATATTACAAATGATAATTTCGTTCAATGATATATCAAATAAATTTTAATAAAATTTTAATTAAAATAAACCTGTAAAATAGGTGCTGGTGGATTAACAGACAAATTTTCAGCTACTGATGCTCTATAACTGTGTTGTGAAAATATTGGTCGATTGTCGTTTACATCGATCAACTTAACAACAACTGGTACCGATGTACTACGTCGTGAATTAACATGAGCGTTATCATTAGCCATTACCGTTATTATAATTTCTGGTGTAATTTCTCTGTCAAGAACCGCAGCACTACCAACGGTAATTTCACCAGTTTCATGTCCTATCATAAAAATAGAATAATTCATTGAACATATATCATCTTTGATTGGATATATTCTATATATCATACGTACCAATGTTAAAATCAGCAGCATGATCACCTATAAGACTGTACATGATTTCACCAAACGAACCCTCATCTCCATCTGTAGCTTTTACAACAATAACATGGGATCCTGGTGGTGAATTTTCTTTGATCGATGCGTTGTAACCTTCCTTTTCAAATTTCGGATCTTGATCGTTAACATTGATCACTGTAACGATTACTTTAGCCGTTGTAGATAACTGTGGTACTCCAGAATCATAAGCTACGACCGTGAACTCTAATTGCTTTGTTTCTTCATAATCGATAACTTGACTGGTTCTAACAATTCCTAAAATAATAAA